CATTTTTACACTCAACTTATCAGAAGGAAAAAGGAAAAAATGCCTTCCCTCCCTGGAAGGCACTCTTACAGGCAAGACACATCCGAGAGCAATAATCTGTGACAATGCACTTGCAAATGCACCAGTAAGATGGCTGTGAGCAAAGAAAACAGTTTGGACAGGTAGATCTGAAGGAAAGTTCAGGCCTTCTCAAGATTGGAAGTGGAGAGGAGTAAGAAATCCCAGGCCTACTGTCAACCACTCCTGAGTCCCTCTGAGGCTAAACGATCAAATCAGCTTAATGCAAAATCGTAAATCTCTGCAGGTTTTGAGGGAGGAACTCTGCCCTGGATTCAGCACAAGGTCTGTCTTTTCTTCACTGCTCTCCGTACCAGGGTGCAAAAAAGCAGCTGTACAATCCCACTTGCACAACTTCCCCGTTTCCAGAAGCTTCCAACTGGGAAGAAAGAACTTTGAGGTTGAAAAGGAAGTGTGTGAACCAGGTCCAGCCTCCACGCAGCTTTTCAGCTGAGTTGGTATGAAGTCAACCCATATAGGAAGGTTTCAGTATTTCAGCTGCTGGGCACAAATTCTTTGCATTTCCATGCTAGTAAAGCAAATGCGTGTTATACCTTGAGAGAACCTGCCTCACTGAATTTCTCTTCCATTCACGCTGAGTCCAACATTTTTTGCTTTTAAGAGAGAAGTACTGAAGAAATACAAATTCCTCAAGTGAGGTTAAGTGTCCAAAGATTACAGTTAGTCGGTTTTCCTTTAACTCCACACCTCTATCATCATCAGTGCATCACCTGCACCAGGAAAAGGAGTCGCACTTTTCTCATCAGTTATAAAGCTGGGGAAAAGAGGAAATAATTGCTCTCTGAAGTGCTGATGTGCAGAGCCACATCCCTCCAGCACACAGAGGGAGGAGGGGCTGCGGCAGCGGGAAATGAAATGAATCCCTTTTGCAGAACTGGAGAGATACGGAAAGGCAAGAGAGAATCTAACCCAGTGCTTGTGGCATGCTGAAGAGAGGCAACGGGCTCTTATCCGTACATGACTTCTGTATTCTCCTAACTCTTTGCTGAACATGCCTCTGGAGAAACTGTGCATGCTAACACTTATTGGTCATGCACAAACCCAGGTTGTCAGAGCACCTTAAGGATTTCTGGATGCTTGTTTTGCTCTCCCCTTTTTAAACAGTTAATCCATCAGCTATTTCAAAGGCAAAGCAAACCCAATCCTTTACAAAACCTTTAAAGAAGTACTCTCTCTAGTGACTGCAGGCATTCTGCAGCATCCACGAAACACTCACCTTAGTACATGAGTCGATCCATTTATTGTGGTGGTGGAACACGGGACCGTCTGCCCCAGGATGGAAGGCCTTCGGTGTCGCTCATCACCACAGCACAGGATGATGAGGAAGGCACGTCTGAAAGACTTGTTCAGGAAGGCATAGAGGAAAGGGTTCAACCCTGAATTGATGTAGCCCAGCCACAGGAAAGCCGTCCACAGCTTTCCTGGCACTGTGTAGTTTATGAAAGGGTCCACTATGTTTGTGATAAAGAAGGGGGCCCAGCAAAGGCAGAAGCACCCCATGATGATGCACAGGGTCTTGGCGGCTTTGGTCTCAGTCTTCATGCGGTGTGTGCTGTGCTGGTCCGGGGGGTGCTGCCGGCCGTCGGCGGGAGCCCCCGCGCGCTGCAACACCCGGATCTGGCGGGCGTGCTCCCTGGCCGTGACGTAGATGCGGTAGTAGGCCAGCACCATCAGGAGGAAGGGCATGTAGAAAGCTACCACCGAGCATGTAATGGCATATGGCTTGTTGACCATGAATATGCAGTAAGTGGAGTTGGAAGCCTTGTTGAATTGCCTTTGCTGAATCTGGGGCAGGGGGAAGAAGGACAAGGACACAGAAGGAAACAAGTTCAGCGCTGTTTCTCTGGTACCAGTAGTCTGTCTGCCAGGACACCTCACCACCACTTCCCAATTCTCTCTTTCCTCCTCTCTCCCACCCGCAGTGCCCACCCTTCCCACCACTGCATCTCCTGACTGTGCTCATACCGTGGGCTCTCCGGCCCTGCTGGTCCCCAGGTCTGCAGGACCAGCCCTTGTTGCACCTCTGGTACCCTAAAGCATGCCTCAGCCTGGCCACTGAAAATGCACCCAATCACCCGGTTCAGGCACAGTGCAGGCAAACAACTTCACTTTGTGCCATGTTTTTTTTCCAGTGCTCCCTGCTCCGTGCAGCAGCCTGGGCAGCAGAGGTCTGCAGGCTGTGTCTGTGGGCTGAGCCCTGGTCACTGACCAGATGGGAGTCTGGGGAGCAGGAGGCATAACTGGGACAGACAGGATCTCTTGGAGACTATTTTTATTTCAAAAAATGTGACTGCAGGTCCATCAGGCCCATAATTTCTGTTGTTTACTCCAACACGAGAATAACCCCGTCTCCTATTTAAGACTGTAATACTAAAATTATTTCATTGGGCAGGTAAGGAAGTTTAAAGTGAACTATGGAGCATCTTCACCAGGTGGTGTTTAAGAAACCCTGCACTACCTCTTGGCATGCAGCTTCTGAACTCAATGATGAACACCAGCGAGTTACAAAGGAAGACAGGGCTTGCACTGATGGTTAGAAAAGCTGGTGCAGACATCTGGGTGTCCAGGCTCTTCTGAGAAGGTGGGGGCAACAAGTCAGTGGAAGGAATCAGAAACCTGACGTGGTTTCTGACAAAATGCACCTCCCTTTTCTACCAGCTGCACATCCCAAAGGTGCTTGTCTGGAAGCAATTTTGGCTTTATTGCCTTATCTAGAGGCCTGGCAGCTTGCACGGGCTATTTGCCATAAGCCAAAAACTATTCATAGCTCCTTGACTGAGTCTTGGCATAGAAGATGCCACATTCCTTTAAACAAGCTCTTCCAAATAAGGTGTTTTCACAGTTTGCCACTTAATTCCTGCATCTTTACACTGGAAGGAGAGCAGATCTGCAGCTCTTAACTCCTGTAGATTGGGATCCTGCAAGTAAAGCCAGACTGTGGTGGGGAAAACTGACTCATGCTGAAATGACCTGCACGGGGAACTTCACTCTCTCCTCCACTTCAAGGCTCACACCAAAACAGGGGATACTGATGGGACTGGCCCAAAGCATGATCCCCTCTGAGGAACTCTGGGTTTCCTGGCTCTCCAAACATCACTGGCATGGCAAGGTGGGACACTTGGGACAGGCAGGTAATGCCCAGAGCTTCCCTGCTTGCTGCAGACACTGGGGTGCTGAGGGCTCCTGAGGTGCCTGTCAGGAGCCAGCTTGAGCTCGGTGTGTTTGCTAAGGACTACTCACTGAACTGATCAGTAGGAGCGGGTAAAATCCTCTCCCAGAGCCACCAGTGTCCTTGTGCCAGTCCTTCCAGGACACAGTCATTTCAAACACTCCTGAAGGCAACCTCCATACATTCAGCAGCCCCTCTGCATTGACAACAAGAAGCTTCTCTTTCAGCCTCTCTTGCATTTTCTTCTCTGAATACTGATTTTTAAAGAAGAATATACAGCACTGAATATACTTGACACCTCCTTAGCTACTCACCAGATCGATGATGCCAATGCTATTCCAGCCTTGCATGATAGGGAGGAAAGAAATAAATGTTGGGATTACCCAGCACCCTCCAAGCATTACGGCAATGCGCAACGGAGTCATCTTGTTCCTGTAAACCAGGGGCTGGCAGCAGATAGCATAGTACCTACAAGGAGAAAAGCGAGAGAACAACCATTATCAAAGGAGACTTCCAAGTCTTCTAAAAAAACTCACCTGTAAAGCATTTCCTCCAGCTTGTTTCTCTGCCTTTCAAAATAAAGGAAAAAACCAAGCCTGTAGCCTATTTCCATTGACTGCCTCTCACACAAGCAGCTCAGGATATTTTCACAGCACAAGTAAATCAGGTTTCATAGTGCCATGCAGGGAAAAGCCAATATTTTCTGTTTTCCAGACAGGGAAAATCAGATAGGGAAATGCTCTGGTTTGTGTGAGGTCACAGAGCAAGCGAGTGACTTCTTACTCTCCCTCTGCACTCAGTCACAAAGCCATCTGCAGGCTCCTGCCTGCGATGCAGGACTGCACCTTCCTTTCATTTAGCTGAGAAAATGCTGGGGTTTTCCTTACTGCGCTGGACATTTATTTTGACGAGACTGCAAAAGCCGTTACTGCAAATTAACAAAGTGTTTCAAAGCTGTGAAAATGTCGGCAAAACTAAGTGTGTTTTTTCATAACCAAGCTGTCAGGAATCAGCTTCTCATCTGGCTGGGCTTTAACCTTCTGCCACAGGGACAGGGCAAACATCCGAATGTGGCTTCTGGTCTTTTCACCATCACGGGAACGTGCCCTACGCTCTCCTTCCTCCCCATCAGAGAACAACCAACATATTCCGAGTACAACACGTCCCTGCTCATAAACCAATAACTAGATATGAACTTAACATGTCTCCTCAAAGAGATAAGCAATCCGCTTTGCTTGCTTGGTCCCTGTGCTACCCACCCGTTCGCAGGTTTCTACATCGGGAAGGTGTATGAAACCTAAAACTGGAAATTTTGTTGGTCTGACATTAATATATGCCCAGAAGCATAGCAGATCAGCAGCCATACCAATGCCATCGAAGTTTTTTGGTGCTTCTGACCTGACAGTCTGTATCAGGTTCCCTATGATCTTTAATTTTTTGGATTTCAGTACGCTTTGTCAAAACGGGCCAGCACTGCTGTCCCCACAGCTGTGACAGGGATCTTGGGTCCAGCCGGTTAGGTCAGTGGTTTGAGTGCGGTGCTGACAACAATGACAACACCGAGGTCGCGGGTTCGATTCCCGCTTGGTCCCCATGTGTTGCCTGGTCTAGTCGAGAGGTGGCGTCCCTGCCCATGACAGGGAGGTTGGCCTAAATGATCTCTAAGGTCCCTTCCAGCCTAGGCCATTCTAGGATTCTATGAAGAGTGCCCATAAATTCTCAGGTCTTCTAAACAGCTACATGTTTCAGTCAGCTGTGTGCCTGATGAACACATTTTCCTAATGAATGAAAAATGATCACCTGGTACATGTCGTTTCCAGATTTGGTAAGCACAGAAACAAGGCACTGTGGTGCCCCGTAGGATATGAGTGCTGCATCGAAAAAGTGGCCACAGTTTCAATAAGTATTTAATAATGGGACTTAGTTCGGAGTCAAGCTTCAACACTAAGGAATAATGCGTACGTAGAGAGCCTCACTGCTGAATGCTTCTGAAAGTCGATTTCATGAGGTCAATGGAATCATGAATGAGAGACCCTAAATTAGCAAACCCACACTAAAGCTGGACCACTGACCTGAGGAGATGCCTGTGAATAATATTTCTAAGTGCCAGCAGCACATCAAAATCAGACGTATGAAAATGCACACATACACTCTGTTTATGTGTATGTATTAGAGAGATTTTCCAAATTTGGTGAGAATTTCCAACTTATAAGGCTGCTTTTTAAAGTCAACCAAATTGCTTTATTTTGATAAAATCCAATAATATATTCCACACAAAAGGTTGAAATATTATCAAAGTGTCAAAAGAAAAAAATTTTTAAAAGTCTTTTGGAAACAAGATTCAAAATATCACAGGGGAAAAACACTGAAACAAGCATTCAGGTATTTCAGTTTGATCATTTCTGCATTCTCTTCTGATTTTGTGTATGCATGTAAATCAGCCTGTTTGTCTGAAAAGTTTCACTTTCAAAGAAATGGTATATTTGACAGTAACCATTCTTTCAGAGCACCAGGTGAAACGTTCCTCTTGTGCTGCTCATGCTGAAACCACAGCTGTCAGCGTGGCTGCCTCCTGTCCCCACCAACACGGCCCTCACATCCCTCCCAGGAGGGAGAAAGAGAAGCTGAATAATTAACAAGAATGGGATTTCCTTAGTTTTCGGAGGTTGCCTTCACTGGATCATGAGGCTCTCCAGCCTCAGTGACAGGCAAAACTCACCTGGGTAAAGCCCTAGTGACCTCATTAACAGATCTATGCTTGGGCTTGGCCCTTGGTCAGAGACCTCCAGAGCTCCTTCCCAACCTTTCTCATGACCGTTACGGCCAGATTTCAATACCCTAGCGATTTAAGAGGGCAGAATAAATATTTCCCGTGTTCCTCTGCACGACACCCACGATGTGTATGTGTAACCTCGGCCTGTGTTGATAGAGCTTATTGCGCTTGGATTTCTCTCTGTTCTCCAGATTTCCTTCCCCCAGGAAATAAACTGACCTTTGAATTCAATCAGGTATTTTTGGTAATGTTTTTGCTTATTAGGACAGATGGTGTTTTCTTGGCACGACGTGCAACTGCTCTTCTGCCTCTAAACACAAGGGAGACACATCTGGCATATTGAATTGTTTGCTGTCTGAGTGACACCTGCTAGAAAGTGCTACCTGGTGCTGGACACCGAACGATTCCTGTGACGTGTCTGACAGCAAGTTCCTGCAGGGCTCATGAGACTACATCTATTTGAGGAAAGAGCGAAAGAAGTTCAATAAATGAATGGGAAGGAAAAACCAAGACACTAGCTACCATTTGAGGTCGCAGGTTCGATTCCCACGTGTTGCCTGGTCTGGTCGAGAAGTGGCATTCCCGCCCATGACATGGAGGTTGGATTAAATGCTCTCTAAGGTCCCTTCCAACGTAGGCCATTCTATGATTCTATGATAATGATTTCACAAGTTGAATCAACGAACAGAAAAAGAAAACCTCGCTGCATTGCTAACTAACTACAGCAGGGAAACAACTCTTCCAAGCAGTTGGAGTTCTTACATTTCTGTTCTTCCCTCTCTGCTCTAGCTGACAGCATTACACTAGTAATAGTTTGCTATTAAAGGCCATTAGAGTAAAAATTATGCCTGTAAAAATGACATCTTAAGTTCTCATATTTCCTCTCCCCCAATGATTCAGCAGCAATTTTCCTCCACTTACATGTCAAAAGATTATGTATTTTTTTTTCTTTTTTGCTAACTGCTGCTACCATGACTTCCCTTGTGCTCAGAAAGTTGAGCTGAGTTCCTCCTGCCCTACACCCTTACTGGTAACACGGTTCCTCAATTGGACCGACAATTTTGCTGCTGGTGAGGGAGGCAGAGAATCACTTTCCCATACCTCAGCAGGATTTCCATTCAATGGCCCTAAGAGTCAGATAATAGAAATCTGTGCATATTAATAGAAGTCATTGAAGTCACAGCAATTTTTTGCAGTAGCTGGTGACTTGATGTATGTGCTGGTTTGGGCATTTAAGCAGCTATTTATTCACTGAGAGAAAAGTAATTATATCTCTATGATTGTCAATAGTTTTAGTCAAAAGCTGAAAGACATTTTCTTATTCTACATTTCTGCTTCCTTTCAAGCTAAAGCTGTTTTCCTGTGGCCATAAAGAATATGTACTACGTACTGGTATGACAGTGTGATGGATGAATATAAAATGCTCCTGGATGTGGAGGGGACACCAACTAGCGCCAAGCGGATGGGTTCCCAAGAGTGGAACTCACACATTAGGAACACTCCCCCAGTGCCTCCCAGGAGATGCAGGTGCACATCTATCACGTTCACAAAAAAATACTCAGGGTTCAGTGAGTTGCTGCCGCAGCCTGCAGGGCCATCTCCTCCATAGCCCTACAAGCACTGCCAGCAGGAGCTGCTGCAGCCACTCATACACAGTGACCACGAGCTGTAAGAGCAAAAGGTTTCATCGTTCCCCAACAGAAGTGGCGCTTTGCCTGCCAGCGAGCTCCGCTTTACAGTCAGTGCTACATGGAAAGCTGGGAAGCAGATATAAATGAGTGATGAACTGTACATCAGCAACACATTTGTACCAACAGCCTTCAGTGCTTTGGGTAAAGAAGACATAATATCACGTTCCTCAGCAGCGGGATCATGGCCAGCTTGCCTAATGTTAAACTTGTGTATATGTGGAGGCAGGAGATGGCAGATAAGAGTGAAGCTGTGAAGCCAAAGAGAAAATAGAACATGAATCTCAGTTATTCTCTTGCCTCGTACAACCGAATGCTGAATCTGCTGTGTTGGCCCAAGGCCTTCACGGAAATATAAGTGTTGTAAATCATGGGGGTCTGTTGCTGCCATTTGCCTGCGTGAAAAGTCCTACAAATACATGTCTGCACGCTCCCTGTATCAGATCCTGCCTTTCCTCCAGGAAAAACAAAAAGAAAAAGAAAGTTTTGGAAAGCATATCAACTTCTAAGTGATGACAACTGTAGGCATTACAAGTTCATAGCATCTAGGTTCCTGTAGACAAGAAAGGAAAGGCTGAGATCGAGAAATAGCGCTGCATTTCAACCCACTGGTGACAGCAGCACAAGGCAGCTGTGGTCCATGGCGAGGACAGCTCTCTGTGACGGCAAACTCACCACGCACCAACACGCTGAGACGCCATTTGTGACTGGGATCTGTGGTCAAGACTGAAATCAAAGGTCCAAGAATCTAGATAACCCACTGGGCCATACACCAGTTTCTGTGGTTTAATAAGAAACAAGCGGGGATAGGGCAGCCAGCACGTTTGGCCACCATCAGCCTGGACATCCAAGCGCCTCCCGAAGCCCCCAGCAGTTGAAAAGCTGCTCTGGGCAGAGCAGGATCAGTGGTGCTCTCACCACGCTGCTGCACTTTCCTCACCTTCTGGGCATTACAGAAATACATTTACTTAGCTGCACTAGAAGGAGAAAAATTAAAGTATCTCCTT